CCCAGGGCCACCTGTGTGCCACCCTGCAAAGAGAGACTGCACCTCGATGGCTGGGGCGGGAGCTTGGACCCCTCTGCTCTCAGGGGACCTCAGCAAGACCCTGAGAAATACCCAAAACTCCAACTTGCTGCAAGCACCATCCTGAGCCCTGATGTTGAGGATCACTGTGCCCGTCCCCCCCCCAGGGATGCTTCCAGCTGCCAGTCCTGGACGGAGAGCAGGGTTCAGCTTTGGAAGGGGGCAAAGTCACAGGCGTCTGGCTGCAAGGAGGTGCTTACCCCTCTCAAACTCGATCTCCAGCACATCTGGGGTGTCAGGAGCGGTGGCTGGATCGCGGTTCTTCGTGTAGAGCCCGGGGGGGGCCTGATTCTGCCAGGGGGGTGGGAAAAGAAGAGGCAAAGTCAGTGACATTGGCATTGCCAACCCTGTCAGCAGCCTCCACCCCAGTACGCATCCTCCATCCCAAAGCGGCACGGCACAGCACCAGTGCCCAGGAACAAAGGGGTTTGGAGGAATCGGCCAATTTTCCCCCTCAACTTGAGCTCATCTCTTCCTCCGACGCAGCTGGAGGTGGGATGGCTGCGGAGCAGCAAGTCAGGCAGGGAAAAAGCGGGACGATGGCAGCCAGTGGCAGAGTGGGGACCTGCCCGGCCCTGCACTGCGGCCGGGCTGATTTGGCACCAACCGAAAAAACTAAATGAGGAGGCCTGACCCCAGCAGGTGCTCCCACCGCACCGGCTCTTTCATGGTGTCCCCGGGGTTAATACACACCGGGGAAAATAGAGGAAACAAAGCAAAAACCCATTTCAGAGCACATCAACCTTTATGTATATATATTTTTTTTTTCTAGATTTATAGGAAAGAGGCATCTTATCTCCATTGGAGCCGGGCCACCAGAGGCTCGGGTGCTGATGATGAATTGCTGCAATTGAAGCGCGTGCGAGAAGAGGGTGGGAAAAAATATAATAAAAAAAAGCTTTCCGTCCCAGAGAGCAAATGCTTTGCAATTTTGCCTGCCCTCCTGAGCACTCACGCACCACATGGCTGCGTGCACTGGCCCCAAAACACTTTCAGACCAGCATTTGCAAACTCCTGTCTCTAAAAGGACCCCCCCCTCACCCAGCCACAGCTCCAGGAGGCAGAGGGAAGGGAAACTGAGGCACAGAGTGGTGGAAAGGCAGGGCCGGGCTGGGCCAAAGCTGTCCTTGACCGACACTGGGGGAAAGTGGCAAAGGAGCATCCAGCGAGGAGCTCCAGCAACCTCAAACTCCCTGTGCAAGCAGTTGGACCCTGCTTGCACCCCCATCCACAGCCTGGCCCGTGCCTCCCCTGCTTCTCCTCTCCCTCTTAAAGCACAACTTTTCCTCTGCTCCCTTTCCCTCCCTCCTCCTCCTTTCCAGTAAGTAAAAAAAGAGAAAGTAGAAAGTTAATAACAAACAGAAAAAAAAAGTAAATGGGATTTTTTTAAGGAAAAAAAAAGGTTTTTTAAGGGAAAAAATTATTTATCTACAGAAGTTTTCTTCTAACTTTTTTTTAAATGGCAAATAAGCCTTTTAGTGAGAACTTTTTGGTCCAACAAATAGCAAAGCCCAATCACTGCCAGCATCTCTGACTGCGAGCATCCCTGCCATGCCAGCGGGACCCACCTTGTCTCACCCCCAACCCCACGATGCAGATCCCAGTGGCAACTGCAGCCAAATCCTGGGAATACAGACACAACTACCCCAGCACACACTCCAGCAAAACCACCCTCAGGTTCCAGTTTTACCTCATTTTTGCCCCTTTCCCTTGTTTTAAACAAGAGACGCTCTCACGCTCTCCTCCCCCGTGCCCCCCACGCGCACGCACGCACAAATTACACGGGCTGTGGATTTCAATTTTACATCGTCTGGCCTTTCCTAGCCCTGATCACACTTATTAACTAGACAAACCTGCAAGAGATGATGAAAAACTTTGAGTTCAAAAGGAAAGATGGGGGGCGGGAGGGGAAAAAAATGCCGGAAAGTATTAAAAACTCTTTACTAAACATTGGAAGTCAAAGTCAGGTAGTTTCCAATTTACCGAGCCAACTATGAAAACCCCTATTAAATAAAATAACTAAATAGAAATAAAAGTGACATTTGGCTTGCATTCCATCATTACGGTGCGAGTCTGTCCTCTTTTTATTCTCTCTCCTAAAAGCACAGTTCAAATGACAAATAGTTTGTTGCAGTGTATCAATGCCTCCTATTTATCCCTCCCCGCAGGGGGGCTAGTCCTGCAATGTCATCTTTAAAGGGGAGAGAGGAAAAAAAAAAGGAAAGAAAAAAAAGGGGAAAAAAAAAAAGGAAGAGTGTGTGGAAAGGCAGAGAGGGAGGGGGGAAGAAAGAAGCAAGAAAAACGGGGCAAGAAGAGAAGAAATTGGAAGCAAATGGTCCATGAAGTAAACCATGATGCAGAGCTATCGATGCCGCAAATGGTTTATTCATCCGGCTGATATTGTTGTGCCCGGGACTGAATGAACTCTTTCAGAGTGCCATATGAAGTTAAAGCAAGTAAATTTCTATCTTTCTCCGCATTAGCTGCCTCATTGCCCTTCAATCGGGCCTCACAGAGGCAGAAAATAGCTCAACCATCTGCTTTCAAATCCCTGCGTTTGGCAGGTCCCGGGGGTTTGGGGAGGGGAACCCGCCGTGCCTGGCACCCTCAACTATGCCTCCGGGTGGTTTGGGGAGGGGAACCCGCCGTGCCTGGCACCCTGAATTCTGCCATGGGCACTCCGAATCCTGCCATGGGCACTCTGGTGCCCAGCACCACTTCCTGGGCTGAGGAAGGGGATGGTGGTGATATCGATCTCCAGGAAACCACCTCCTGGTGCCGGGGAGGGAGAGGTGCCCTGGCAGAGGATGCCTGGGGATGGAGTTGCTGCTCCCTTCTCTGCTAAACTGGCCCCATTTTCAGGGTTGGATGTGGGAAGGACACAGGCTTGGCACAGTCGCGGGACCAGGGGTCTTTGCCAAGGGGAGGGGTGCTGGGTGCAGAGGGGTGGGTGGGGAAGGGTGCGGGTCAGACCTTTGCTGGCTCTGGTCAGAGGCATCCAAACCCATCCCTGTGCCAATCGCTCTCCCAGAGGAGGAGACCCCCAAGAGCCCAGCTTTGCAAAGCCCAACTCGCAGATGCCCCTGCGGAGTTCACCCAAGGAGGAGTGGGACCCCTTCTCCACCTTCCTTTTCCTCACGCCCCTGCTGCAGACACGTGCCAGCCCCGCTGCAGTGAGCTGGCCGTGGGCCGCTGAGCTCCCGACGGCTCCTCTGCCTCTGCGCCTGCCTCCCCCTCCTCTCCCGCCCTGTCCAATTAGTGCTGATGGATAGGGAAAGCTGAAGAAGCCACCGAGCATCACGACCCACCGGAGCATGAACAGCCCAAGCGGAGGCCAGCAGGCCACCAGACCACAGGGACCACTACCACTGGGCTCTTGGCCAGGAGCTGGTGGGCCCATGGATGCCCTTGAAGCCTCCAAGCACCACCCCACACAAGAGGAGGTTTTGCCCCCTTTCCCCCAAAAAAGCAGCAATGGGAAAGCAAGGAGGGCTGGGCGAGCTGCAGGCACAGGGCCCAAGCTGCGTGGGCCAGCCCAGATTCCATCACCCACCACCAGCCCCGCTCTCCCACCAGCACCTCATCTGTCCAATTGCTCCTTTATTTCTGCCCCCTGACATTGTCCCCTCCAGTGTCACCCTGAAAGAGTCCCTTCCCCTCTTCAAGCCAGCGGCAATTAACGTGCCGGGAGAGGCGGAGGGGCTGGGGTGGGCGGCAGGGCCTGCCTGCCACACACGGCCTGCCGTGAAATTTCCAATTAGGCTGCAAACACATGAGACGCCCCTGGCCACGTAGCTGCCACGTAGGCCGGGCGGCCATGATCAATTACCTTGGGGTTCTCCAGGATCCCGGCTTCGTAGCTGCAGTGGGAAGGAAAGAGAGGTCACTGCAGCACCTGCAACCCCAAAACCCACTGGGACGATCCCCCCACTCCCACCACATGTCAAGGATGGATCTAATTATGTGTTATGGATCTCCAGGAGCTTTTAGTAGCAACCCTGTGAGGAGCACCAGGCTTAGAAGAGCCCAGGAGACGGCTGCTGGGACATGGACAACTGGGAGGATGGAGGGTTTGGGGTCATCCTCAGCCAGCACGTGGTGGGGCACCTGGGACTCTGGAGGTGGTAAGCGCTGTCCTGGCCATATGGGATGGAGGCATTGGGGCCTTAGGCTCTGGGTCTTCACCCCACAGGAGCTCCCCACTCACTCACTCTCTCACCTGATGTGCATGAGGTTTTCATCCATGCTCCAGGGCGTCTGGGGTGTCACAGGCACCGGGATCCCGTGTTTCTGCCAAGAGAAGGGGAGCAAGGCTGAGCCATACAGTGGGGAGAGCCAGCCCCCACTGGCCAGGATCAGCCCCAACAGCACCAAGACACAACCCAAGGCTGCACAGAGCAAGTTGGATATGTGCGTCCCCGACTCTCGGCAACATCAGTTCCCACCAGAAGGGCTACTTTGATGGGGACATCGAGGATACGGTGCGGCTGGGAGGAGCACCACCATCTCAGTCCCGCAACAAGCTGAGATGGAGCTGCAGAGAAGCTCACAAACCCTAGTGATGGAGGTGTCTGCATAGACATAGTGTGCTTTTTTTCTAGGTCCGGGCCTAGGATGGAGCATTTGCCCAGTTTAGGTCTTCATCAAGGGGAGGTGGCAGGGGAAGACAAGTCCCCAAAACCACAGGATGCTCTGCATTCTCAACAGAACTGATGCTCTGTCGTGAAGGGACAGCACATGTGTCCCCACAGCCTCATGCAAACACGTGGCAACGCAGACACGTGGCACACGGGTGGACGGCATTCTGCGAGCCCAGGTACCCCGAGCACACCCTGTCTGGGGACGCACGGCCCTGCACCGGCTGCCTCCCTGGTGCAGCACACAGCGCCAAGCCCAGCTCCCTAACAAGGTCACCAGCACGCTCAATTATCCACTGACATTTCAATGGGGGAAATTGCCTGTGAAGACGAGGTGAATACGTGGGGGAATTAGCGGGAGATGCGACGGCGGCGAGCTGACAACCGGAGCCAGAGGGGACATCGCCCACCCTGCTGGCGCGCCAAGCCGAGATGTTCTGATTTTGGCATGGCCATGGTGAGCCAAGGATGGAGATGGTGGCTGTTGGTTCCCACTGTGCCTCGGTCTGTCTGTACAGCCTGTACATCTGGCATTTCAGCGTCACCACAGCAGGGACATCAGCCAAGGGCTTGGCCAGGAGCAGAGAAGCAGAAGCTAAGCAGGAAGAGGTGAAGGAAATGCTTGTGGTTGTTAAATCGTGGTCATGAACCCATCACCTGAGATGGGAGCAAGGTTCTGAGATACCTCAGATAACTCAGCCCCATCCCCTGCCAGGGGAGACATTGCCCCAGGCTCATGGGTCCTGGTTTGCTGATCCCACACCTTACTCCCAGTGTGGGACACCCCCGGGACCCACATCCCGGGCTTTGGAGGTGGGTGCTGGGCAGCCTTTGCCTCCTCAACCCAGGCCACTCTGCAGGGCTGCTCTCCTGTCCAGCCAGAGCACATCAATGCTTCACATGGGCTTCAAAACGCAAGCTTGGGCTTCAAAATGCAAGCTTGGGCTTGCTCAGAGGGCAAAATGCTGGATGCAAGTGCTGGGGATTGCCTGGCTTCCCCAGGAAAGAGCGAGGAGGTGCCTCTCCCTGTCCCATCCCTCACATGGATGTAGCTCCTGGTGCCTCTCAACTCCCCCCAAATAACAGTAGGGGAGACGGAGGGCTGGGGGATAGACTTCAACCCTATCTAGGGTCAGACCATGCTCCCATCAGCACCTGCCCCCTCATCCTCATCTCAGCACCCTTGTGGATGTTGGCAGAGAACATTTCACCTTGGTTAATTAAAGCCAAGCAATTAACACTGAGCGCTGATCACCCTGATGGGCCATGCTCAGCAGTGCAGGGCTGGGGAGAGCCCTATGCCATCGATCACTCCCGTCTCACCTGGGACGTATAAACGCATCTTTCGGACCCAAATACCCACTGATCACAAGCCATGAGCCCCAGCTGATTTACTCAGCACTCTCCTTGCTCCGCTGCTCCTCTGGCAGCCAGCGAAGCCCGTGCTCCTCAGCCCAGACGAAGTGGCTGCCAGAGCAAGGCTGGCTCCAGCCCCAGGGCATTAAATCTACATCAGGAGCTGTGCCGTGGTGGCCTAGATCCCCGCTTTCCCTGGCAGCAGCCCATCATCATCGTGTTGCAATCCCCCAAGCACCAAGGTGAGCACATCCAGGTGCTGCTGAAAGGACCTGGCCATGCATCTCGCTCTCCTGAGTGTGAAAAAGAAGGGAAACTCCCTTTTTTTTTTCTTTTTAATGCTGGACATAACCAGAAATCGAGAGGCACTACAAACACTCAACCCCAACCTTTTCTCTTTGAACGGGGCCCCAACCCATTTCATTTCCCTCCTCCCGCCCTTCCAAACAACAAAAAAAACCCCAACCCCAAACAAAACCCCCAAACCCAAAACACATGTTCCATTTTCCATATAATAAAACCGCGTCGCTCTTAATAACTCCCCTTATTTGACAATTTGTTTGGCAACATATGGAAAGCTCTCGTAAACTCGCCCCTTCATAATACAACAGCAGATGGCAAACACAATCCTCAACACGCCACTCTCGGCGGCCCTAATGGGCTCAGAGGGCTCCTCGTCCCTCCGGCTCCGCACCTCGCCTTCCCAGACATTACCCAGGCAGCCTCGACGGCAGCTATTTAAAAACTGAAGCAATTTTCTGGTTTATGCACAGAGCTGCCTTTTCCCTTTTGATTGATTGAGCTGAGTTGTCAAGCATTTCCATGAAGTCGCTGAAAAAAGAAAGGTACCCTGGTGGGCACGTAAAAACCTGATGCAAAACTTCTAATATGTTTTATTGCAACTTGTACTTCAAAAAGGAAGGACAACAAAGGCAAACGTATTTGCTTTGTCTGTTAGCAAGTCAGGGAGCTGGGACCCATTTCCTTGGAAAGCGGGTTACAATTAACAGCCAGGTAATTACAGGGCTTTTAGAAAAGAAAGAGGAAAAAAAAAATAGAGGGGAAAAAATAAAAACCTCCGACCAGAAGGTTCCAGCACGGTGCTGCAGGGATGCTGTGCAGGGCTTGCCATGGTTATCTGCTAAGCCACAGCAAGCATCCTGCAGCTGCCCCAAGCATCCCATGGCCACCTGAGCATCCCATGGCCACCTGAGCATCCCATGGCCTCCTCGAGCATCTCATGGCCTCCCTGAGCATCCCATGGCTGCTCCGAGCCGGCTCCTACCTTGGCATACTCCATCAGCTCTCGGCGCCCAGGGAAGCGCTGGTAAAACTCGGGCAGTCTCCACGGTGCGATGACCTGGTGGGAGGGCAGGAGTGTGAGATGAGAAGCCCCCCAGTTCCAATGCATCCCCCAGCCCCTTTTTGCCCTGCAGCATCATCACAGGCTCCCCAAGGGAGAGGGCTCCAGGGAGCCCCATGGGGTGCTGGTCCCCAGCTGAAATTTAATCTCCCCACACAGGAGCGGAGTAACCTAAACCCCTGACCCTAACAAGGCACTGGATGCAGCATCGATTATCCAGCAGCTGCCTTAGTACTGTTTCCTCAGTGGCCTCGTAGTGTTTGAGGTAAAAATAGGTCAATTAAGGATCATTACAGCCCCCTCAAATGCCAAAACGCTGCTTCATTGAGCTGGCAGCTTGTTAAAGCCAGGCATGGCCGCTCACATCGGTGTTAAAACAAAATTCTGCACCAGCTGGGGACAGGGTCAGGAGCCTGGTGGTGGGATCCCAGGGGACAAATTTGGATACCTTACCTTGATGTTAGGACATAGGGCATAGCAGGTGAGCTCAAACCGAACCTGGTCGTTGCCCTGAAATACAAACAGGAGGTGCTGAGGGCTCACTCTGCACCAGGGCAGGTGAGGACCTGCTGTTTCCTTGCTCCTGGCTGCTCCCCCTGTGCAGAGATGGGACCAAAACCCCCAGCCAGGAGCTGGAGGGGACATGATTTGGTGTCTCAGCTCCAGCAGGCACATGGGACAAGCTACTCTATGGCTGAGCAGGGCATTGGCAAATCCCTGTGAGAGCCTCACCAGCCAGAAGGGACATCCAGCTGATGCTACCCAGTACTTCACAGACTGAGACACATCTGTTTTTCCCAGTAATGCCACTGGGATGAGATTGCTGTCTATTTTCAGCACAAAAACAAGACCTGAGGTTGAGGACCCACTTATCTCCTCCATTCCGCCAGGACAGAGGGAGCAGGTAATGGGCGCCAGGACCTGGGTGCCAGGACCTGGCCTACATCCCACAGGATCACTCCTATTCCCCTTTCCACAGCTGATTTGAACCCAAAACCAGGTCATCCTGATAGAGTTGGGCACCAGGTGTTCAAAACCCCAGTGAAGCTCATTCATCCGGCTCCAAGGGAGCCTGGCTGATCCCAGGATCACCCAAGAGCCCAGCTCTCCCCTGGGCTGACACTCCTAAAACTGAACTAGTGGAAACCCAGATTTGGGTATTTTTTTCTTTGCAGGCATCAGAGGACACATGGAGGGAGAAAGTGAGGAGGGAGGAAGACCACGGTGTCCAGGAGGATGCAGCAGCTCGTAATTAAATAGCTCTGAAGCTCTCTCTATCTTAATTGGCCTGTGCTGACAAGGTCCTGCTAACGTGGCCAGGTAGTTGGGAAGGGGCAAGGAGCGACCCCGGGAGTTATTAGCACTTCCCAGGGAATAACTCTCACCAAAGCCTATTTTCCACCAGCACCAAGGGGCCCAAGGACCCCCCTTCCTTCCTCTCAGCCCCGACCTAGAGGATACATTTACGGCTGGGCTGGGAAATCCCTGAGGACCATTGCACACTAGCAAGGACTTCCACCTAAGCACTCATTTCCCTTACAGGCCCAAAACAAGTCCATCTGCTCCGGCAGTGGAGACACCGCAGATGGCCTGCATTTAAGATGCCACAGCCGGGGATGGGGCGTAGCCGGGTCGAGTTACCCGCAGTTGGTCCCTGCCTGCACCCCCCGGCTTAATGGCTTGGGGAGCAGGCAGAGCCTGGGGAGCAGCTGAGGGTGCCCCTGTTAGCAGGGCCGGCTGGGGCTGGGGGTACCTGGGAGTGGAGGGGACATCATCGCATTGGGGGTACCCAGGAGTAGAGAGGACATCATTGCATTGGGCGTGCGTTACACCAGGGCACCCTTGAGTGGGGTTTTCAAGAGGGAGCTGCTGAAGATGGGTAAGAAGGACAAGGAAGTGGCATGGGGAACCCATCACAGCAGGAGGAGTTATTTCAGTCACGAAATGCCACCCACAGTCTCCTTGCCCCATCTCTCCAGTGCTGGCATAGCCCTTGGTTATTCCCTGTCTGCATCCAGCATCCCCCTCTAGCAGAGTCCTCCACTATAGCTGAGGACCCCCAAACCCAAACCCAAACCCAAACCCTTGCACTGAGACCCCTCCAGAGGGCACCTCACCTTTGCCCCTGGGTCAAGATAGGCATGATCAACAATTTTTGTCCCCATGGGATGGGGAGGAGGAGACATTGAGCAGGTCCTGGGTGCATACGCAGCACCCAAGGGTCTCACAGAACCGCAGCTGGGACCAGCCAGGCGTGTGACCTCTGACAGTGCCACCCTGCCTCGAGTGTCCCCGCACCGGGCCGGGCAGAGTGCGGGCAGGCGCTACAGGTGCCAGGGGGTGGCCCACGGTCACATCATGCAGGTCCCACGCTCGCCGTGGAGGATGCCCCTCTCCCTGGGCAGGGACTAGCCCCAAGCAACCTTTCCACGGTCTCTGGCTGCCTCTAGCGGCAAAGAGTCCTCCCTGCGCCCGGCGACAACGGGGACAGCCGGGGATAGGGACGGGAACGGGAACAGGGACCGGAACAGCGGCACCCTGCTCGGAGAGCCCCGAACTGCCCCGGGCGGTGTTGGCTCAGCCTCAGCCGGGTCCTGGCCCTTCGCAGCTTTCAGAAAGCAGCTGGTGAAAGCAGAGGGTGGTCGGCTGTGACCTGAGCCTTTCCCACGGGGAGAGGGAACCGAAATTGGGCACAAAAAGCGAGAAGGAAATGTTGAAATGCTTCCCCACAGAACACCCACAAAATGCCCTGTACACGCCTCCTGGCACCCACAATTTGGCCAAGGGACTGACTGGGTATCCCCCCCAGCACACCATGCCAGCCCCACTCTGGTGCCCATGTCCTCCCTCACCTTGCCAGTGGCCCCGTGGGCAACATACTGAGCTCTTTCCTTCTGGGCGATCTCCACCAGCTTTCGGGCAATGCAGGGTCGTGCCAGCGCGGTGCCCAGCAGGTACCGGTCCTCGTAGAGAGCATTGGCCTGCACCGCCGGCCAGATGAACTCCTCCACGAACTCCTTGCTGATGTCCTCGATGTAAACCTGCCAGGATGGAGGGAACCTTGTGACAAGAGACTGGCTAGGGGATATACAGCTCATCTGGGGCACTGGAGCCAGCCCAGCAAAGGGTGCCTTTGCCTCCCCTCTCCTAGATGCTGCTAAAGGGCTTTGGTGAAAAAACCTCTGGAAAAAGCTCAAAACCACCTGTGCACCCAGAGGGAGGGATGTAGTTACCTTCTTGGCCCCAAGCGCCAGCGCTTTCTTTCGTGCTGCCTCAAAGTCTTCCTTCTGCCCAATGTTGGCCTGATATAGGGGAGAAAACCAAGACTGAGTTTGAAGGGAGACCACAAAACTCAGTGCAAGTCCAATTTGGCACAGGGCATTGCCAAAGGCATCGTACAGCCCATGCTGGCAGGGCTCAGGGCCACCCAGGAGGGGGTTTACTCCCCCAAAACAGCATTCCTTGGGTCGTGCAAAGCCCCTTGGCCCTGCCCAAAGCACTGCCCTCATTAGCAGAGGGTCATTAGTTGGCAGGGACAGGCTGTGCCGCACAGGGCTGGCAGCTCAGCAGAGCAGCATCTGGGCTGGGCAATGGTTAACCAGCAAGAGCCGGGTCACTGCCACAGCCATGCACATGCCAGGATCCCCGTCACCCACCCAGGTCCCCACTACCACCCACACCCTCAGCCCCCACAGGTGGGGTCCACATAGGTCTCACCAAGTAGGCGACCACGTCGTAGCCCTGCTCCTTCAGCCACACCAGGATGCAGGAGGTGTCGAGACCCCCGCTGTAGGCGAGGACCACCCTGCCCTTAGGCTGAGCCATGGCACTGGCAAAGCAAAGAGAAAGGGGTTCATGATGGCCCTAACCCCTGTCCCGAATGTCAGCCTTTTCTTGCTCAGTGCAGGGATGTTGCAGCCATGAAACCCTTCCTGGTGTCTCTGAACTGGCCATGGGTCATCACGGTCCAGTCGGGTGCCGAGGGCAGCCAGGGGTGAGGGGGTGGGACATTCTGGGCAAAACAAACAGATTGTCCAAGGGATGAATAACCAGGAGGCGAAAAGCAAAGCCCACAGCAAACTAAACATAGGGCAAGCAGCAGCTTGGGTAGGTAGAGGAGCACATGGTGGAGCTACCGATACTGGGATAAGCTCTCCAAATAAAACACAGGCTCCCAGCACCACCATCATTCACAGACTCACTACAGCATCAGGAGAGACCAGTTGGACCAAGAACCCCTCCAGGACTACAAGGATCAGAGTGAGGGCTGGGAACAGGAGGAAAACCCACAGTACCATAGCCAGGCTACGGCTCCCAGCCAGGACACCCTGCCCACATACTGGCCAGTGCAATGGAGGAGACCAGGGCAGCCATGGGGACCACAATACTCTTACCTCTGGTCCATGCGGCTTTCGCTCTGGCAGCCCTGGCACAGCTCACCCCACGATCAGCAAGCGCCCTGCAATGCAGAGTGGACAGGACTCAGACATGGGCATCTGGCCACAGCGGAGAAGCAGCCTGATACCTTGCTTGGGCAGGACCTGGCGTGTCCTGGCCCAGTGTGGAGAAGCCACCCACTGGCTCATCGCCAATCACCCACCGGCACTGCTGAGTGTGCCATCACCACAGGGCCGGGGTGCTTGGCAGCATCCACCATGGCCCAACCCCAAGTCTAATTAATGCTTATTAGGCATTTGTCCTAATTATGCTGCCCCATATTTCCTGCCAGTATGAAACACCTACGTGAGGATTTGGTGCCCCTCACCCTTCAGCCAAGGAGATGGAGGACTTCAGTCAACAGCAGGAGATGGTGAAGGACACGGCAGCCCAGAGCTCTGGGGGGTCCTGCTGTGGGACGAGGCTTGGGGCTGTCCCTGCAGTCCCCAGGCCAGGCTGTGTATCCCAGGGCCCAGCGAGAAGGCGATGCCAGCCGACCCTTGGCCAGGGAAGGCGGACAGCAGAGCCAGCCAAATCCTGTCCTGAGCAACTTCCATGCTGCTGCTGAGTCAGCACAATCCTGTTTCTGCTTTTACAGGCAGGGAAGGCACTGTGCCCAGCCCCTCTAGGCTGGCCCACCCAGCACCTTTCACACTGGGTTATACCAGGATGTGCTCCAGCATCCCCAGTGTGGGACCAGCGATCCGTGGGGCACAGACCAGGTGCAGGATCTCGCCTGCGGCTGCTGCCAGTTTTGTGCTGGAGAGCAAAGGGATCTGGCAGCCCCGTAACCGCAATTATGCTCCTTGAGCCTGCCCAGACAGCACCCAGCACCCACGCTTGTGCAACCGGCGTTGCCCTACCCTCAGGCCCTGCCTGGGGAAGCTCTGCAGTTCCCTTTCTCACCAGGGCATTTACAGGAAAGCAGTTGCAGTTCCCGAAAGAGCCCAGCCCAAGTGTGACACTGCACCTGCAGCCCCTTGCTGGGCAAATTTCCTTATTTACCCCCAAAACCCAACTGTGGCCACTAGCATCGCTGCCGCAGCTGTCAGCCTGACTAAGCACCTCTGAGATCGGACACACTCACTTCACGAGTGGCCCAGCGACAGGTTAGAGGAAACACCTCCAACTTTTGCCTGCTCAGACACGTTGTGCTGCACATGTGATGCCTAAAGGACCTGGGGCACCTTGCCCTGGGGACGCATCCTGCATCCCAGGAATGGTGCAGGTTCACCAGCGTCTCCAGCTCCGGAAACAGGGCTCATGCCAAGCCCGCCTTCCCAGGAAGGGAGAGCCCCGAAGTTTTGGCGTTAGGCAGCAATAAATCAGAACAAACAAAGCTCAGCGAAGGGGAACGTGGTGGGACTTTCTCAGCCCCAATTATTATTCCACAGCAATTTCCGTGTGAGTTGGGGCAGGGTTTTTACCAGAGTGACTCCGACTGCTCTGCTCCACGGGAAAACTGCGCAGTTGTTTTTAAAACCCAGAAGGAAAATAAAATAAAGGAGAAGGAGAATAAAAAGCTTGAAACTCTGGTAAGGAGAGGAATTGCCTTCATCAGCCTCTGTTCTGGTGAGTGCTGCCTGCAGGCTGGGATGGGGTAGGACCTCGGGGGTCCCTGCAGCAGGGGCAGGGAGGGCTGCGCACTGGTGCTGGGGTTTGCCCTCAGCACCGCTCCTTCACCTCTTGGGGGTCCTATCTCGCACCCCAGCATCCCCAGAGCGCGGAGGGCATGGGGTGTTTCCAGCCGAGGTCCCAGCTCCCCTCCTGGGGGTGGCCAGGCCAAATGGACCCCTCAAGGAGATGAGACTTACTTGGAAACCCCCTCCACCCCAAACTGAGCTACAAGAGGCTTGACTGCAGCTCTTAGCACTGGGAAGGGGCTGGGACACTGCTGCCCTGTTGGGACCAGCGAGCCCTTCTCCAGCACCCAGGAGTGGGGGAGACGTGTGGGTGGCTGGAGAGCGGACAGGGGGTCAGGTCCTCCAAGGCAAATAGGCCCCCCTTTCCCTTTCTTTTCCCCCCTTCATGCCGTGCCTGCACTCACCCGCTCCCCAGCTGCAGTCCGGTGCCTGGAGCATCCTCTTCCTCCTCTTCCTCCCTTATAGCCGGGCGTGGGCAGGCGGAGCCACCGCAGGACGGTCCTGTCCTGTCCCGTCCCCTCCGTCCTGGGGGGCCCTGCCCTCCGCCTGCTCGCACAGGCAGCAAGGGGGGAGAGGGCCGCTCACACCCTGAGCTGGGATGAAGGTTTTGGCTGACCCTAGCTCCCTGCACGGCTGGGCGGGGGGGGG